TGTAATGCTTAAATGCTACATGCTGCCCAAACCATATTATCTAAAAAGAAAAATAACAATTGCAACAACATATACTATAGAGAGACCTGAGCCATGACATCTCCCCATCTCGTCACAAAACTTCATCTGGTTGAATTGGTTTTTATTTGTCATTACCTCTGATCATGGCAGCGCTTCTTGCCCAACTTGCCTTTCTGGGTCATGACTGTGCCTACATAGATGAAACACCTGCTTCTACACAATTTAAAGCTGGACAAGTATACACTTCTATATATGCAACACAAAATAGAGTCCTACAATTCTTGAGACTGAAACTTACTGTTCATACAATCACAGATTTCATACTGCTTAATTGGAAATATTTCAAAATACAACTTGTTTGAAGTACTTTTTTAAGGAGCCCCATTTAGTGCAAAATCAGCAAGTTGAACCTATAGTGTCAAAATTAAGATTACTTTGGCAACTGAAAGCCAAAGCCTGATTTCCTAGGGGAACAATATAAGCTGAAGATTTCACATTAATTCAGTCCTGTAATTCATATGAAAAGTCTTCCAGCACTTCCCCACTGGACAATTATCTATTTATACACTGTTATAAACTGCTCTTCCTGATGGATGTCTGTCTTTTAATATGCTACCTGCCTGGTTTTAGATTTGTGTGTATGTAGTTGTTGGGTTTTTCCTTCTGGGCTCAGCATTAGTACTTTATGGTGCTTCATACCACTTCACACCTATATTTTAAAGAGGGGACTGAGTAACAAAAGGTGAAATAATAATGCAAATTTCAATTTGTCCTTCTCATGCTTCCTCTTCACAGTTGATATTCTTGCTTCTGATTTCTATGTCATCTTTTCTTTCCTCAAGTGTTTCATATCTTCACTTTCCCTTTAAAGAAGCAGAATTTTTAACAGCACAGAACTAAGGTGTTCCCCTCATATCAACTCTTCTCCTGAGGTAATTTCTCCTCTGATTTGCCCATGTGCAGGTGTGCACTAAGAAAGCTTTGCAAGTCTAATGAAATACCTACAGGCTTTTGCAAGTATAACTTACTCCACCTCTAAAACCCTCCCCCTACCTTCCTGAAAGAGAAGACACCACTGCTGCTGGGAGTATGATTTTCCCCAATGTATCTGCATCTCTGCAGCTGTGCCAGCCAGGCACTACACTTCTTCAGACCCTCAAGCAGCAGGGCACTGTGAGATAGTGTCTCCTGTAGACATGGGTGTGCTCTCTCCTCGTGGCTGCCTACCCTTTTCAATCTGATGTGGAGACCCGAGCCATGACATCTCCCCATCCCGTCACACAACTTATTCGTCTGGTTGAATTGGTTTTTATTTGTCATTACTTCTGACCATGGCAGCACTTCTTGCCAACTTACCTTTCTGGGTGACAACTGTACCTAAGTAGATGACACGCCTGCTTCAACACAATTTAAAGTTGGACCAGTGTATACTTCTATATTTGTAACACAAAATAAAAATACACTAATGGTGGCAATTTGTCTCCCCTCTCAGCTAAGTACTCTTTGCACACAGGTAAGAGGACACTCTCCTCTGCTAAGGTGTTCCTGCTCCTGGAGGTTTGACTGCTTCTTCCCTGCTGCCACACAAAACTGCCCCATGGACAGTTAACTGCTGTAAGTCTGCCAAGTGCCTTTTGATGCAGAATTTTTTGATAAACTGAGATTTTTGAGACAGAGCTTACCTCGAAGGAAGCTGTCAAGCTTTGTGTGGACCAGGTTCTAAAGCAAAAGTATCTAAGGGGTTTTGAAGCTCTAATGCTTCTAGAATCAGTTTTGGTTTAGGAAAGATTAGATGCTAGACTAAAAGCACAAGAAACACTGAAATAATTAGGTTTTGTCCCTTCCTAAAGGGAATTCTTGAAAATACTACTGTCCCATGACCAAACCACAGTGGGTGTCTTTTTTCCTTCAGTCTCATTTATTTAGTAGCATACACACTTCAGAGTAACAAGCACTCAACCAATACAGTCAATGTCAAAAGTGACCATGGTCAGCATTGCACTGTAGTGTTCAGAACGGATGCATGTGGATGATACAGACCATTTGATCTCAGTACCTTAAGAATAACAAATAATAACAGCAATTAAAAAAAAATAGCAAGAGCCCTCTGAGATACTTAAGATTTGGTCCGACTTCCACTCAAATCTTTTCCCATAGTAGTAATGTGATCAGATTTTAAGTGAATTCCTGCCCCCCCGTGTAAAATTGAGAGAGATTTAATTTTTACCACTTTGGTTAAATTTTATCCAAATTTATACCCTTGTGTGGCCCAAACACACATCGTTTTTAAACTCAGCTGATGTATCTCTTCGTGCATTTCATCCTGTATTGCACCTTCCTCCAAAGAATCTCACAGGATCTTGCAAGCAATAATGAAGCATGGCCTCACATTATTCCTGTGAGGTAAGTAGATACTATTCCCATCTGGAAAATGGAAACAAAACTGAGGCCTACAATAGTTATTCAAGGCCTAAAAAAACAAATCACTGACAAAGTTGAGGGAGAGAAGTCCTACTGCTAGATTCCCCCTGGAATGCAGCAGCTACAGCAGTAAGCATTGCTGCATCTAACGAGTGAGTTTGAAGACCTTGGTGCCTAAACCAGATTAGCTGTGCACCAAAGTGCCTCTGGGTCAGCACATCTCCCCATGCTTGGAAGCACATGTGCCCTCAGTGTCTCCAGAGCAAGGCAGTATCTCAGCAGAGGCATTAAAGAACTACATTTTGGACTTGTATGTGAACAATGACCTCAATAACCATGCCTCAGCTCTTCCATGTTAGGTGCCTCTGCAATGGCTTCATGTCATCCCTCTGGTAAATATAAGCTTATTCAAGACAACTTACTCCATAGTGAATGAAGGCTGTGCTGCTTCCTCACACTAGCAAGCAAGTGTACAAAGACAGGCACTCTGGGCCACCTGACATACCTCAAGGTATCTAACTTACCCTGGCTCATAAGCTCATGGCCTCCAATCTCTTAGAACTCCAGGGCTCAGTTGCAGTCCTACACTTGCCAAAAGCTGCCTCCTTTTCTCTTTTCCCCTAACAGCAGCATGAGATTGTGGCTTCTTCCCTTCTAATCCCTTAGCAAGTCAAAGGGCCATTTCAAAACTAACCTGTTGGAACTATTTATCATCTAGAATAAGTTTCCAGACCATGCTCTGCTATAGCAGAGATTTTATTTTTTCCCCCCAACCTTTTCAACTACTGCAGGGGAATGGGTCATTTCCATGTTCTCCCCCAAGATGACCTACTGCAAACCATGCAAGTGCCAGCAGCAGTTGATTTTCTTGAAGCTACTTGTACACATTGCTTCTTTAGAATGGGACAGTCATTCTAAAAGTCTGTCTCTAATGCTCAACTGAGCATCAACACTTACCCTCTAAATCTCCCTTCCAGAAAGTAAGTCACACTGATGCAAAAGATCCACATATGCGGTAACAGAAGAAAGAAATTTAACTGTGAAGATTAATGAAGCAAACCACTAATGACTTCTATCACCTTAACAGTCTCATTTCTAACTTTTCTATTTTTTTAAGGGGAGAACTGCTTGCAATTGCAGACTCGTAGAAAAGGTACTGCTATTAAAATCTTCCACTGTGAGACCTATTTACTTCCTGTTAGCCTTAAGCAATGCTTAATTAACTGATTAACTTAATTAATTAACTGATGGCTTACCTCTTGGCTGCAGGAAAGAAGGAAGACTTTTTTTTTTAATGGTACAAAATTCACTACAGATTAATTCGTCATCTCATAGCAGTTGAAATGTTAGGAGGCATCTGGAATGATAATATCTGTGCTCTCTCTACTGAGGGCTGTCACTTGAAAAAAAGTGTAAACCCTCTGAAACCTCTAAGTGGAAAATACAGTAAGATACTATCATTAAAATAAAGCTGAGAGAGACTTCGGGAGGCTACAGAAGTTGTCTGAATTTGCAGTGCACTGCAAAAAGAATTATAATTTCATCCTAAAACAGAAGTCGTTTGAAGCTGTTTCCACTTGTCATAACTTCCTAAAGAATATACACTCTATGTTGTCTAACTTTTAGGGAACAGAGCTTGAATTTTTAATACTGCTGTTTGGTTTAGAGGTGATGAAAAAGTAATTAAATCTGTCAGATCTCCTAGTACAGTACTGTGTGATTTAAAGTAACTCCTTTTAGAAAATATTTTAGGTTCTTCAATTCTAATTAGAAATGTTATAGATTGATTTAGTTCCAGATCAGGACTCTACAGTCTTTTTTTGCTCGTGCTCATCATTATTATTGAAATAGTTTCCCAAAGCATGGAGTCACCTTCATATATCCTAAAGTTCTTAGAATCTCACCTGAGCACAGGACACCAGCAAAAGACAGCAACTTCTGATCAGTGTGCACTACTAGCTTTAGATGCTGAAATGAGATTAACAATAAAATAGTAATATAAGTCTTGTCCTCATTTTGAAAACTGCATCATCACGTTATTAATATTAAAAGCTGGAATGTGAGTGAACATGTGAATACTGATAGTATTTATACTGCTAGTATTTAAAGAATTGTTCAAGTGATGAGGCAACCCACAGAGAAGGTATGGGAAGCCATTACAAAAAAATCACTTCAGTCTTTCTTGATTTTAACTTAACCACTGTGAATTTTCTGTGGCTGGGCCACAGCAAAAGAATGAACCACAGATGGTCCCATGATTCCAGATGGGGACTAGGGAATGTGATACACTAACACTCCTTCCCCTAAACTGCCCTGAGTTAACAGCTGGTACCTTACAGGAAGGATGCCTGGGAATTCTCTCATCATTAGTGTAATGCTGTGAATGCAGAACCACGACCTTCCTGATCGCTGCACCAGTTTACACACTTAAGTGGCAGCATCATATTTAGGAATGGGAACATGGCCAAGAAGCCACATGCATTAGGATACAGTCAAGCCATGACCTAAAGAGATCATACTGGTTGCTGACTACTAGTGCACGTGTGTTCATGTGTGGGGGGGTTTATCTTTAAAAATAAACAAGCCTTGAAAAAACCCCTTAGTTCCTTGGTCTGTGTGTGAAAGAGCCATTGCTGATTTTCAGAACTCCAGTTCAGCTGCAAGAGGCCAAACTTGCCAAGCTAGGCACTTTTCCAACAGCCCACCAAGTCTGAAAGTAAAATGTTTTTGGAGACAACAGGCTGCTATTCTCTCCCTAGAGTATTTGTCATCTCCTGAGAGGCTACATAAAAAGCAAAGGCTGTTCTTGGACAAAAGCGAATTGAGGCTTGGGCAGGGAAGCGGAGGAATGGTCAACAGCAGTTACCACATCCAGCCACTCCAAACTGCTGTCTCCCTTTATTCCAGGTTTCTTGAGATTATCACCCATTTCCACCTCGTGCATGCTGTAACACAATGCAGCAGAAGTTGTTGGTCCAACCTCTAGTGTAATCAGGAGCAAGACGACTTGGAATTAAGGGGAGGGGGGGTGCGGCAGGGAGGGGAAACACTCCTGCTGATTTGAAAACAGTGCAGTTCCCTGAAAACCTGTTATCCCTACCCTGAATCCCCAAGCACTTGCTCTGGTTCACTAGGAGGAGAAGTCCCATTTGGAGTCCCATCTGTTTGCCAGAAATCAGACTCATTCTGGTTTACCATACAGACCTCTTGACTCATGCTGGTGTGATTCCTGAGTGTGGAGATCTTCACTTGCTGAGGACCAGTCTGAACTTAGGCTGGTGCAACACAGACCAAGCTGGAGTTATTTAGGTTCATAGAGGGTCGATGCAAAGTCATTTGGATCATTAACTGCTAGGTTCTGGATGCAGCTCCCTCTGCACGGACGTCCTCAGGAGTTTGGAGGGAGTTCAAGGTTTCCTTCTAACTGCATGATTCCAGTAGAGCAGAAAGTTACAGAGCAGCCCTGCAAGTTTTGTGCCATTCTCAGCTCATCTTTCAGTAATGCTTTCCAAGATGCCAATCAAATTGTCCAACCCCAACAAGTATCCATCCTCCCTGTTCCCTTCTTGCCAGGGGATCCTGTGATCCAGTGTCTGCCCATCAGGGAGAAGGGTGGTCTTTCCAAAATCAATCAGCCACACATTGGCATTCCCACTGCCATCATGTACAAAAAGTAGTGAACTTCCAACGACCTGGAAGACAAATTGAGATGATGTGGTTAAAAACACATCTTTTACTCTCCCTCATCACTTGACAGGTCCCATTAAGAGGATGACTTCCTCAGATGACCTACTCACCTGTGACCCAACAGGCTTTTGCACTTACACAATGACAATTTACATGCCCCGTTTACATAAACATATCAATCAGTAAAGTATAAATGGGTAGGAAAATAGGAAAAGGGACCCAGTGGTCAAAGGGAAGAAAAGCAATTCTCCAGCTCACTTGGCAGCAGGCAACTCTGTAAAAGCTAGTGTTTGCTTTCCAAGAAAGACCATAGCCCATGATTAATACAAATGCCTCTAGGGACAAAAGGAAATCAACAAGGCAAAATAAAACGTCTGACCTCAAAATCTTGAGCTGTAATAAGTAGAACTTACAAGCAAATGATGCCTTCTCCACAGCAAATGATACAAGGAAAACATATAGTGCAGAATTATATACAGTGTTTCAATGTAAATCCAGTAAAACTAATAAAGCCTTCATTGCCAATCTACAACTGAATGCTATTGTGTCAAATGCAAGCTTCCACATAGCCATTCCCCTGTAAAGATTCCCACAGGAACACACCAAAATTAGAGAAATGACAGGAAACTGGTACTAATAAATGATTCCCTCCAGGGGCCTAGAGCTACAAGTCCTAGGATGTTAGAAAAATGGGTTTATTATTTCTCAACTGGTTTATCTTCTCTATCACTGAGATGGAGGTTTTACGGTATTGGTGTTGTTAACATTGTAGTAGAAGAAAATTACTACAAACTCCTTTCTACTAATACAGCAGGCTGCCCCACAGTACACCTGAAGGATCAAAAGCAGCAGCAGCACAGCTCCACAGCATCACATTCATCACTTACCTCATGTCGCTTGAAGAAGTCTGAGGATTCAAGAATGAGATGAATTTCCTGCAGACGCTTGAGGTATTTTTTCTGGAGGAAGAGGAGAAAAAAAAAAACAAAACACCAGCTTATAAACATTTAAGTAAAGAATGAATGAAGACATTGTGTTTAGAAGAGTCAATATAATGAAGAGATCATATCAATTTTAGGCTAGGGGTCCTTCAAAGCTATAAGTTCATAATTTGAAAGTAAATCTGAAGATGCACTTCAACAGACACTTCATTCAATAGTGAATGAACAGGCTGGAGTTCCTCTGCTGCATGTGTTGTGCCAAGCAGACTTACCTCTTGCTTTGGATGCAGTAAGACTTTCTGCATCCCTTTTTTTTTTTTTTTTTAACACAGAGAAAGAAGTTTCGAGCAACTAAAAATCTTCCTGTTTTCCACAGTAAAAAGAGAATGAAACTGTGTTAGGCAAGGAAGTCCAACCATGATGGTGTGAGGGAATAAAGAAATAAAGAAATAAGTCAAGGCTTAATTCATAAAGCTCTTGCAAAGATTTTCAATGCTGCCCAGTGTTACCAAGCATGCTCCTCCTGGAGGGCTAACCTGCCTTCATAATGGCATCTACGCTGCTGCAAACAGCTGTGGCATCCTTTGAAGTTCCAAAGACAAGAGACACGTTACCCCATCTACCACATGCCTGCTGTGCTACCCATGGAGTAGGATACAGGAACTGCTCTTTGAGGTGAGTCTCCCACACGAGTACAACCAGCCACCAATCTCACTTCCTGCCCCCATGCTCTGATTTTATCCTCTCCAGACTGAATTCCCAAATCACGTTTTCCTGCCAACACAATCCTTGCTTAGAGATCATCATCCCTTCAAAACATCTAACACCCATGGTTGGAGCTGATGGCAAGCCATAAATTGACTGACGTCTTGCTAGCATGAGGAACTTACAGTGAGCTCACAGCAAGAGGTGACAGAACTGGTCTCAGCCAACTACTTTTCACAGCCCACCACATCCCCGTGTCCCCTCCGTCTGCTGAGAGGGACTGGAAGTCAAAACTATGTTCTCCCTTGGTAGCTGGTTTTCTGTTGTACCAGAGGGAGCATAGTCCTGAAGGAAGTTCACTGGGTCAAAGGTCAGTGAACCTGTAGAGTTTGGACTCACCAGAATAGTTGTGTTGCCTTCAATGAATTCCACAAAAACCTGTAGAACTTGCTCCTGAGTCTTTGTAGTTTTGAAGTTTGTGTTACATGTTCCATCTGCCTTCTGCAAAAAGACACACAAAGACAGAAACTATTTATACTACACACGTATCATTCCCCTCATCAATCCTCTTACAGTACCAACAGCTCAGCTCTTCCTAACCAGATGAAAGTGAGTAGCTGAACAGGAAGAGAGCAGATAAACCAAGCAAGAAGTGGAGGAGAAAAAGACAAAAAAGCTGATTGGGTGACTTTAAATGGCACTTCATTTCCTGCTGAGTGCACCTAAAAAACGACTCGCGATATCACCACCTTGCAGGAGGGTTTTCTCACGTGTCAGTACCAGCAGTGCAAAGTTCAATGGGGCAAACCACAGTGACCTCCTTAGATGTCCTCTTATCTGGCTCAGTATAGTCAAACCCTGCCTGGGGGTGTAAGAGGACATTTTCAAACCAAATTTTATTAGTCTTTTTTGTTTGCTGCTTGTTGTGGTGCCTTTGTTTTTCAATGGGGAAATCAAAGAACTGTGGTTAAGACTCAGTTCCCAATATACCTTTGCATATACCAACATGACCCAGTAGTCACAGAACAGACAAGAACAACCTGGGACTTGCAATGCTAGCAGTGACACAAACGCCAGCAGTGACAAAACAGATGTGTGAATTTTGGCAAAAGACACTGTGGGCATGCTTGTATCCAACTGGGTCCTGGAGAAATTCAGAGTAATTCTGAGCTAGCAGTAAGGCTCAGTACAAAAGCATCCTGCTGCTGAAAAAACAGGTCTCTCTACGTGCTGGTAGTGACCAGTTTGTGCTTGTGGTGCTACAAGTAAATAAGAGAAGTGCATGAATTGGGCAGATCCATCAACATAGACTGTACCAATATGCATTTCTCTAAGAACATCCCAATTGCTTCAAGACATACCAATATGAGCTTTTAGGACATGCATGCAAAATACAGCAATTCTTGCCATTGGTAGCCTGCATCCACTAAGTCTGCAGGATTATCAAGCTGTATTCCTCTCCTTGGTATCAGTCCAATAAACCCCTCATTTCCATTGTAAGAGCAAATCAACTGGTCATCAAAATGTGTTTTCTCCTTCGTGTTATAAGCCACTGCATCAAAAGTGGCTAAATTCAGCTCCATTCTTAGCAGGTGAAACATTATTTACTCCACAGCAGAACTCAGCATCTAGTATATACACAAAAGATATCAGATAATGCTAAATTTCCAGTTTTATCATGCAAGATAATGAACTGACTGAATGGCAAAACCATGCAGAACAGCCTCCCACCTACCAGACTTTCTAGCAGGAGAATAAACATAATTTTATTCCAAGGCAGTGGGCCAGATACCAGTGTAGCATGTCAGCCTGATGAGATGTGTAAGTTATGCAAGAGAAGTTCAGCAGGTAGGCAGTGAAAGTTAAGAGCCATCTGATCCGATATATGATAATATTCAACAGCACATAAAAATTTGGAACTTGGTCTGATGCCTCATACCTCTTCCTTGGAGTAATTTTTTTTTAAAAATAAATTCTCCCCATGCCTCAAATCCCAGAGAAAAGTCTGGAATAACTGCTGTGTGGCCCCTTTTCCTCCTTTTTTGTCTGGACAGAGTAGTTGCTTACTACTGTTTAGAAACATGTATGATTTTGATCCTTTGCAGTGGTTGGCAAGAAATGCAACTGCTGCCTGTCTTCACTTGATGTAAACAACATCCACATTTTGAATGGCACCATCCTTTGAGTTCTATACTAGGTCCTTGAAACAATTCTGGATGTACCTGGTCCCCAGCAGGTGCTTGCCTGACTCCCTTCTTGAAGTCATACCTTTGTCAAGGCCTCTGCAGACATTCCTGGGCAGCAGAGCAGCCTGTTGCACAGTGCAGCTAGGGGCCATCTGCAGAACTTCTCAAGAAGGGCAGATATGGCAGCTCCCTAAGACAGTGTTACCTATCTTAACCTGAGTAGTCTTGCTCAGATTCATCTAAAGACTTCCCTTAAAGGGCTCAGGCTTAAGGTCACAATCTAAGTAGATTCACAAAGATTTATGAATAAAATCTGAGGTCCTTCTGGGAAAATGGATATCCCAGATCTATAGCTAAAGGAATGGTATAAAAAAAAGTAGTAACTTCCCAAACTGCACAGAGGTTCAGTGACAGAACAGGGAGCCAGAACTCCTCTGATTTTCAGCCCCATGTATCTATGCTCTGCAAAACTACTGGAGACAATGCTTGTGATATGTGGCCTTCAGACAACCCCTTCCAGAGGAGAAAGTTACATTCCCCATCTGTCAGGCACAAGAGAGTGTCAGGTGCCAGCTGAAACTAAACCAAATAGTTCAAACTATTTTTGCTGAAAGAATGAATCATAAACCTCATAAATTAAGCTGACTTGATTTCAGAGATATGGAAGCATGGCAAGGAAAAGAGATGGATTAACCTAAAGAGTAAAGGTATCCACTGATGGATGTGTGCAAATGGTGAATCAGCTCTCATTTACCAGCAGCCAGTACACAAAAGGGATTCTACAATTTCACATTCTTTGCTTCCACTTCTTACTCCAGCAGCTACAGGAGAGAAATATTTCTGACTCACCAAACCCAACACACCTGCTCAGCTAACTCCAGGAGCTAGTGCACCCAGGGAGAACAACAGTTTTTTTCCAGCAACCACTATGTGGCATCACTTGTCTGTATAGGCTCTTCTCTCAAAATGGGAATCTCTGCAGCATGGCTTTGCTTTTCCACAAATACACAAAACTGGATATACAGTTCAGCTACAGTGGAACAGTGCAGAGAGTACTGACCAGCTGTATTGCTTGGACAACTCACTTGCTGTCACTATTTCCTGATGTAAAAAGAAGTAAATAAGTAAGAGAATGATACCTACATCCCTTATAACAACACAGGAAGGTAGAGGAAAAGGTAATGTACTGCAGTACTTCAAAGCATTTCATGTGCTTAACCATGGATTAAGTATGTGTGTCCTGTTTTGCACAGTTACAGCATTATCTCAACAGGGAACTCTCATGCAGTCTGGGTGTCATACTGTTCCTACCCACCTCCAATAACCAACCAAGCCATAAAAAATGCCAGTAGGATTTACTAGAGCTCTCCTGTGCTCCCTTAGCTCAGTCGCTCTGCAGGACCCAACATGAATCTGTACGTCTTCTACGCTGACAAACTATGTTTCCAAGGACACATGTAAAAGATCTCAAGATATCTGGGTTTCTGATTCCATTACACAGAGCATCCAAAGACCTAAACTGTATAGGAATAAAATGAGTATCTTGAAAACACCACTAGATGGCTAAAAGGTAAGAGAGGAAGTGTCTCAGCTGGACTGAAGCCAGATTATCTACCATCCACGACAATTGCTGCATGAGGTTGCCTGTGTCTAACAGCCAGGAGTGGGTGGCACAGTGTACAGGGGGCCAGCACAGCATGTGCTTGAAGCCCTTGTTCCTGTATCAGAGCAGGAGAATCTGTGAATGAGGAAGGAAGAAGACAACACAGGGAAGTAAAGAAGAAAAGTGTGTTTAAAGAGCCTCTGCTCATCAGCGTCACTGTCTTTTATCCCTTTCTTCTTCCTAGTGCTTGAGCTATGAAACAGAAGCAAAACTGTTCCAGTTTATGATTTACAAGGCCTTATCATAGCTAAATTAAATGTATATGCCCTGGTAAAATCCTGAAATGATATAGGGTAACCCATGCTAACTTCTTTATGGCTGTTCCGTCACGGGCTTCAGGTAACAAGAACTCACCCAGGGTGTGGGTGGGTTTGGGCAACCCTCACCACGCTTGTGCTGCTACAGAAGCACTACTAGCCAAAGCCAAGCAAACTAGTTTAAGGTTAGCTGTGACAGGTATATGCAGGCAGAAAGCACACTTCTGGATTCCAGCAAGTGTCAAAATCCAAGTGAGTGAGTCAAGTGGTTGATACTCTTGAGGGTATATCCTCATGGGTTTCTGGATAGGTATTTGACATTGTTAGGGGGCAGAACAAATTTAAAGAATTAACAGGTAGGAAAGAAATTGCCAAGATTTTCTGTGGCTGTAAGGCAGTATCCTAGGAATGGTACAGGGGCACAAACTTACCCATCAAGAACAACAGATGGACTTTGTTGATGGATAATTTTGTTGTTGTTGTTGTTGCTTTGGCTTTATTCCAGCTCCAACTATACCGGATATCGTAGTGTACTTAAAAGGAACAGGAATTTCCTCAACCCCAAGAATATCTAAGCTAATGCTTTTAACATGCCTTGCAAATAAACATCACTGAAACAAAAACACTGTGATTCACTTGTAATAAATATGTATAGTTCTTGGATTAAAAAAAAAAAAGTCACTGCATAGTTCTGAAGTCTTCCTTATAACAACCTCATTCTCATTCTATCTACACTGCTTGAGTCCTTCCTGCAGTATCTCTGTGGTTGAACCACATACAGCTGAGGTACATTTGATGTTTAACTTCATTGGCACTACTCTGTTGTAATTACAAGGGCTGCTTTAAAACCACAATACACTGACCCCTGTAGTTTCAATTACTGAAATTTCACATAATCCTTTGGAAAGGATTACTGATGCATACTGGCTACTGATGCATACTAGCTTTTTGATTAATCAACAAAACAAAGTTTGGTCTCCAAGAACAGGCAGAAAGTGAAACTATTACCTTAATCCCTTCAATCCTGAAGCCCAGGTTAGCACTAGAGCTGATGGTTTCCCTCCACTGCATGTATCGGGGCTTGGTGACAGCATGCTGGGCATTCTCTTCAGGTGTGGGAGCAAGAGGATCCACTTCAATCATTTTCTTGTACATGTCCTTACGCAGCTTTGGCTTCTCACGGGCCTTCGTCAACTCTTCCTCCAGGTATGTCCTGCAAAAGAATCACATCCCAACAAAACCGTAAGGACTCCCCAGCTATTTATTTTTATATACAAGCTTATGAACTGGCCTCAAGAAATGCCAACCAGGAAAGCAAGTCTTATCATTACTCCAGTTTTGCATATGGAGAAACTAGACAGCGCTGACTAATAACTGCACAGGCATATTTAGCAAAACAGCTGCAGAAATCAGGAATTGTATCATTCA